TGCTCACTTGGAGGTGGTGAAAAGGACAGTTTTTGTCAAAGAATGAGTATTCAAGATACATAAAATGTTATGAATGGATAGGTCTATCCGATTTTCTGGTCAGTACTATTATATATTACATGACTTTTTTTGTTCAGCCGGAAAAGAAGTAATAATATAACGTGATGTAATGTACTGGTGTAACGCACAGAGAACCGCTTAGCGAAGTAAGGAACACAAAAGTAGCAAATTTACTTTTTGTAATCCTGCGACTAATCTCGTAACATCGCGGGTGCAATTTAAGTGAAATCCTTATACTTAAACTGCCTTCCGTGACTCGTGTAAATTGACTTTTCTGTTGTATCGATTAATAGCTCAAGAGACTCAAGTACCTTTTAAGGTAAACTTATTTGGTTAATTGATTGCTGCTTATGGTTTAATTTTCATGATTTTTGCCGACATCCTTGTTTGGATGCTTTTTAGTTTGCGTTCGATTGGGAAATCGAGATTTGGATTTTGAAATCTGGATTTCGGATTTTGCTATCGAACGCGAAATCCGAAACGAATGTCACTTCCGAGAAATCAATCCCCAGGGTGGATTGCAATTAAGAAATCCGAATCCGGATTTCATGGATTTCCTTTTTACCGTTCGATTGGGAAACCCGAAAAAGGATTAAAACTATTCTCTTGAACAGTGGTCTTCTTTTTGCTAATTATCCGTGCATGAGCAAGACCGCTGTTCTTAAGAATAGTTTTTCAAATCCTTTTTCGGATTTTCGAAAAAAACAAAACAAAACAAAACAAAAAACAAAAGAAAATAAAACATAAAAAAAAAAGGGAAAGAAAGGAAATCTAAGGAGAGATATCTCAGCTTTGAAACCCGTTTTCAGATGTTGCGTTCGATTGCAAAATCTGAAATCAGGATTTTTAAACCTAAATCCAGATTTCCTAATCATCCAACGCACCCAAGATATAGTTGTTTAGTTTTCTGGAATTTGCGGCATTGGGGCTAACAAACGAGAGTACAGGAATTTTGAGTTCAAAATCGGACCTGAAGAACTAACCTTATATGTTTCATGATTGACTAAAAACAAAACAACACAGGAAATATCAAGGATTTTTCAACGCACACCAACTTAAGGACCTAAGTGACAATACCGTTCATTAAATCTCAAGGATATGATACAAGATTTCAGTTCTCCAAGCAAGTCAACCATTTATTCACGTATCGTTATAGATCTGATCGTTATGCCGATAGTTTTCAATGCTCAGCGGGAACGGGAAACACTTGCCATAACTAGACAAACGTGTGTCTCGCAAACTCTCGCGAAACTCGATTTGTCATGCATTCAACTATACCGGACGGGATTAGGAAGCAACTGCTCTAAAATCTTTATTAGTTGGCAGACAATCATCACCGCTTAAAGCGCTATTCAAGCTACAATCATCAGCGAGATTTAATAACTAGAAAACTATATGCTCCTCTTGACGTATCCTCACTTAGCTGGCCTCACTTAGGCCTAAGCCAAACTTTGAACTTTTCATGAGACAAAACCAAACTCTAACTTTCCATGAACTTTCTAGGCCTCAGGGCAAACGTCGAACTTTTCGTGAGACTAACCAAAGTTAGAGAACGGTTAAGTTTATGAACAGTTCGACGTCTGGCTCATTTAAGTTCGTCTGAATGAGTTTGGAGCGTCCAAAACGTTCTATCCGTCTGAAGATCGTCTCCTGGACACTCGATCTTCACATGCGAAGAACTTACCTGACAAAATCAAAATTTGTATGATGGTATATATTTAGTAGCCTCGTTCGCGAGGAAATTTATTACTGATTTGATTCACTTGATTAGTTCGAAGCGTCCTGAGTTTGACGTCTGACCCAACAGACGATCTTAACTTAATTTAGGTCGACCCAAATTAGAGTTTGGTTAGTCTCACATGAATAGGTCGACGTTAATGGCCTAGGCCTTACAAGAACTCACTAAAGGTTGATTTCCACTGACGCGTTTTTGGCTACGCACGTTAAGGCACGTAAATTTTAATCACGTAAATAAAACAGAGGTAAGATAAAAGGTGTTGACATTAAACGTGAAGCTGAGCGAGGTTCTACTTTTACGCTTACGTGCAACCTTTCATACATTGCCTCTATTTTATTCAGTTTGCGAACGTAAATTTTACGCACGTACGCACGCAAAAGTTAGGCGAGAGTGGAAATCAATCCTAAGGCCAAGGCCGAACGTCGAACTTATCATGAGCTGAACCAACTTTAATGAGTTAAGTTCATGAAAAGTTCGACGTCTGGCTCAGTTAAGTTCCTCTGAATGAGGAACACGTTCTATCCATCTGCCTCAGACGGATAGAACGCCTGAAGATCGTCTTCGGGGCAAACGTCGATCGTCATAGTACATTTTGGTCAACGTGTCCTAAGGTCGACGTCTTAACTCATTTTAGGTCGACCCAAATTAGAGTTTAGTTCGTCTCATGAAAAGTTCGACAAAACTGGATCATTATAGTTTTGGAATTCAATTGATGCGAAAACAAGTTTTACCCCTCTCCCTCCTCCCCCCCAAAACAAAACAAAAACAAAACAAAGAGTGTTGCATAGCCCACTGTCAAATCCAAAACTGTACGGTGGAACCTCAAGGTTCATAATTACCCCGACTCAAGAAAGCCTTTCTACATTTCCCGCGAACCGCGAACGTCAAGAAGTCACGTGAATTGTGCCTTGCCGTCAGGTTTGCGCTCCAGAGGTCAGTGATGTACAGCAAGGTTTTTTTACACCCTAAAACATCACAATCCCATCATTATCCCCAAGTGGCACACTGCTCGTGAGCATGTGATTGGAAAGTCAGAGATCTTGAATATAATATTATCGTGCGAGAGGGTATTCATTGCAGTTGAAAATTGGATGGCGAGGAGTTCTCGAACTAGCGGGCTTATTCGCCTCAGAACGAGAACTTTTGGAACTAAAAACTGCCAAGCGGTTTCTGCAGATGCTGTGTTTTCTTTTCTTAAATTTTTGTCGAAAATGAACGGACAAATGCAGAGTAAGTTGGATAAATAGAATATATTTAATTTCAACGTGCATGAAGCAAAAAGTTGGTTGTATTAACGCGCTAACTGTCTTCGCCGTAATTGTCCGATTACTCATTTTCTTTCAACAATGCTTTTGGGTAAGAACAACGTTTCAGTTAAGAGGTAGTTTGTCAGCTCTCTTCCGCTATTTGTGCGTTAACGTTCACAAATGTGTCAGCCTATCATTTTAGCATTAAATTTGACCAACATTTTGTGGAGCAATTTCTACGGTCACGATTGCCTTCAAACTTGCAGAGATAAGACTAGAGAGCTCTGAGGCTTATTTGCTGAAGTTAGGGGAAATTCTGTCGTGGGATGTCGAAGTTATTTTCATTTTTCGTAAAAATGGAGTTTTAAATATATGCCGATATCTCAAAAGTTTTTATACCTATAAAAAAATAAATAACATTTTCGAAAAGTTCCATCATCATTTATTAAGGATGCAAAAAATCGTAGAAATCGGTTGAATCTTTCATTCTGAAAAACTTGAATCAAAAACATAACCAACGCGCATATAGGAACGGGCCACCTTAACCCCGGCAAACACTACCGACACAAATTAGGCACTAAAAAGGAAAAAGAATCGGGGCAATTATGTCCTCGATTAGCCTGGAACACTTAGTCTTTATGGTGTTTAATAATATTAGTTTATTCGAATCTGAACCCTTTAGTGAGGTATCTATGTAGCTTACGTACAAGGATAGTTATTAACTTTTGGGCTAATCTAGCAGACAACATTCTTACTTATAGTCACCCCTAACATACTGAACTTGCCATTCCATTTACAGCTTGGCTTTTAGGCTTCCGCGTATTCTATTTAGCATACCATTGATTAACACAAAGTGAAAGCTCCAAAGCCAGGAAAAAAAAGAAAAAAAAAAGAAAAAAAAGGAAGAAAGAAAAAATGCAGATTCCCTCTTTTGTAGTGGTAATTCACGTTAACTTTTCGCGGTTCCAACAATTAAGTTACATGCATGTAGCTGGTATTACTTGCAGTCTTTGCACTTAAATAACCACGAAGAATCTAAATCAGTAAACCATGCCAACCCCAGATGACGGAAGTAAAACCTATTTTAAGCATAGGCGAGAGGTTTTATAGTGAGGATGGCCGAAAGAGATGTTTTAATTCAGAATTAAACGAAAACGATATCGTGTTAGCGTAGGCGGGTGCGCTGAGTCAGTTAAGTGTGCATTTTCTATCATTCAAAGAAGCCAAATACATCAGCATTAGTTTATCAAGTCAGTTCACGTGTATTGAAATTATTCAAAACGAGACGAGAAAGATAATGTGGAGATGCAGGGACAGGTCCTGTACATAATCAAAATATTTTCCATTTTTTCCTATAGAAAATGGGTTCAGAAAATTTTCCTCTGTTTTCAACTAGAGTCCGGCGCGACTGAAAGACAGTGCAAGGTACAATGACGCGCAATTTTTACTCCTTTTTTTACCTATTTTTTAGAAAAGGTCTACTCGCCTAGCCTCACTGTTAGATATACTAATAGTATGACTGGTAACTGTTGATTTGCTAGATATTTAAACTATTTTTTTTTTTACTGCAGGAATTTGTGTCCCAAGGGGGAAGCGCGCCGGACATAAATCCGGCTGGAAAAAACGACTCGGGGGACAGCAAAGATTCTTATTCAACCGGAACGGCCGTTCATGATCGTGGTGTATCAAATCCCAGACATGAACGTCTAAAATCGTGGCTTTGAGTCGTCAAAAGCATCGGTTTTCAGCAAGCGCATAACAGGAGTAGCCAATGGCTTCGCTCCTCAAATCATCCGCTCCCCAGGCATAACCGTTATAGTCCAAAACTACATTAATGTATGACAAAGTTTTTTCCATCGCAACATATAGAAGCAGTAGGACAGATTAAAATTGCTGAATACGACAGTTAGCATTTTAAATTAAGTTATTTACAGACAAAAAGCATTTGATGATCGTCATGTAGAAGGTTTCACTTTCATTTCAATTTTAGTCAGACTTGCACCCCTCCAAGTACGCCACCGGATAGTGAGATTGCCTTTCTCGTCACGCCCTGTCAAAAACGCATCCTGATCGCAGCTTGCAACCCACCAGCCACCTTGTAACTGCAAGGGACAGTTGTCACCCACCGTGTTACTGTTACTCCGGTCACGGGTCGCAAACTTTGTATTATTTAGAGAAGATAATGAATCCCCAGCTCCTCCTCCTGTTAAAAAAGGCACAAGGTCGGATAAAAAGATATATCGGAAGGAAAAAAGTGGCAGGATGCATTTTCGACATGAAAAGCATATATAATAAAATGTATCACTATTTGACGTCTTCTAGACTGCTTCTGGCGAGGGTAGTTTTAAACGAAAGGCTGGAATTAATTTTTAAACCCTACTCTACGTGGTCAAGTTTCCTTAAAATTTCTCGAGGAGCTCGAGTGTTTGCCATACTTTTCGATAATTTGTTGTAAGCACTTCAAAGATAACGCAGTAGGTACCTCATTCCACAGTTTTATATGAAAGTAGATCATCTCAGTTATAGACGCAATTTGCAGTTGCGACTGCAAAAGTTGCGTCTATAACTGTGATGATCTACTTTCATAATTCTTCACCCCACAGTTCACATATATGATTTTCATATATTCATAGCTTCATTGCACAGTTTGCTGCTCAAAAAAAGGGAAGCGTGGTAGTGCATCTTGTTGACTGATTAGCATTGACTCAGTAGTAAAAATTTACGACTTAAGCCTGCCTCCTGGGTAGAGAAGAGAAAATTCTTTTTTTCTAACACTGTGGAAAGTCGTAAACAACTTGTCCCGACTTTGTAAACGATTAGGAGATTATTGAATTGAAACGGACGTTTTTCTCCGGCTCAAGAGGAAACAAATCTTCAGAACAGGCAGCTATTATCTTGCTCAAAGAATTGATGGGAATTAAATGGTTTGTACAACTACGATTTTATTCTCGCAGTTAGCTCCGATTCATTCCTGTGATAGTTGTCAATAGCATGCACCTTTCCTATACTGAGAAGCGAAAGCAAGAAAAAAAAGCGGGGGGAAAGCAGAAAGAGCTTTTGAGAATGGATACATTTGCCTTATTCTTGAATGAATGAATCATATTTGTTATTCAGGCCTTCAGTTATAAAATGAGGAATTCTAAGACATGAGTCTAAAAAATTAGTTTTGTCTTACCAATGAATTTCCCAACTCTCAAGGTGTAGCTAGTACCCCACGTATCTATCTGACAGTCGCTGTATTCCGCGTATGGCTTGGCACCATTCTCTGCCTCAAAATCGAATCTGATGCTAAGCGGAACGTCATAGCAAAGTTGTCTCATTTTAATCAATCCAAACCAAAACTCCCCAGATATACTTCCAAAACCGTTAGCATAGGAATGCCATTTTCGATGAAAGTTCACGAAACCGTCGAGACGGCGCATCACGACTGTCCAGCCCCCACCAGCGGTCTCTTGATCGCAATATGCGCGAAATGGACCCATTTCGTCATTTACCACTTCCTGCTCAGGTGTGGGATTCAGGCGATAGCTTCCGGTAACCTTGTAGCCAGCGCCAAGAACTTCTTTGCAGTCCCTCAGGGCTTAAAAACAGGATTGAAAACGAGGCGAGAAGTGCAATCAAATCCACACCCTCTTCGAAAAAAAGCCATTGCTCTAATCAAGCTAATCAAAAATCCGTCTCTGAATATTGAAAGGGCAAAGAAAATTAGGTATCACCGAATCAGGAAGTATACCTAATAGTTTCTGAGAATTTTCTTTTCTAAAGATTAAATTTTGTAAAGTATATATGGCTTGATATTTTTTTGCCACCCAGAAATACCGTTCTGGATTAACTCGACTATGCTAATGAGCAAAAATGTATTCGACGACAGTGACGTCAGCAGTGTATATTGCAGAGTAACATTGTAACATTGTAATATTTCACCATTGTTACTTAGGTTTCTTTGTCCGTCTTTCTACGAAGTTGCAGCAAATTAAGTTCAGGTAATATCAAAGTCTATTATCTGTCAGGTCAGAGATGATGTTATACTTCTCAAATCGTTTGATACTTCGACCAGGCAAACAACTACCTCAGGTAACGATATTTATGCTTTATTAACTGGTGTAGAAGGCGTAAGTGTAGTAGCTGGATGGGTCTTTTTTTTTTCTTTATTTACGCTTGGGTCCATTATTACACTTGCGCCTCCAACGCATACTTTTTCCCGTTTTAGTTCATTTATTTATTGTAAGTTTTATTTCCAATCCAAAATCTTATATTACGTTTGGGCTACGTGTAATATGTTCAGGTATAAATTCTAGAACGCTCTTAGCTAAGAGGTTTAAATCCGTTAGCTTTCTCGTTCGGGGGGCCTTTCACAAGGGTTTCTCGCTGGAAAAGTTATTGAATAGTTAAAATATATCATTTTAAGCAGCGAGAAAGCTTCAAATAACGTACCCGTGCGATTAACTTTCTTATCAATAATCCTTCCACTTCAGATTCGAAACAAAGAATACGCAGTCAGGACTTTAATACAGCTCCTTACCTGGTATTCCTTTAATCACTGGTAAGGCAGAACTTGGGATTGATTCTATGGAGATAGAAAACCGCTCACGTAAGAGTCATAACTTGAGCTTGCGACGGGTGTTTTTCCCTAATTATGTATAGAAAGGAGGAAGCTGGCAGGATGAAATTGGCATTTAGACGAAGAGGTTTTAATGATGAACAGTATTGTACACATATAAAATTCTGCAAACAGAATACTGTGGTATTCTGTTCGCAGAATTTTTATATGTGTATTTCTTATTTTTGCTGATCAGGTCATCATAGATCCTACGTTATTCTTCGGCATAATTCGTTTGCGGTCCTTTGCAGTCCTCGTTGGTTAATGTTCGTACTAACAGCATATTGTAGCTTGTTTCATTTCGTAATCCGCACATAAACTTAATAGACTGAAGAGAAATAATTTTTTGGCTCCTACAAAGTGTGGTAACCCGTCGAATCGAAAACTTCTACTTGTCACGTGACGTGACGCGCTTGCGAAGTACTACGTTCGGGTAATTAAATAAGAAATGGGACAGTAACTAGGTGGGCGCTTTCCACTAAACAAAAATTCCAGTTTGAAATTTCGGAAATTCCACATACTCTATAGAAAGGTAAATTCCGACCCAAGCCATCGATCGTTTGGTTATTGTTCTTGTAAGCTGGATACAAAAGAGCGGTACTGGGGACAAAGATGTTGTCAAATGGAAAGGGACATTTCGGTCTAACCGACCGAAATGGTCCGTTCCATTTGATTTCTAACCGAAATTTCCGCAATTTTAGGCTGAATGGAAAGCGCCCAAGACCTGTTGTAGGTCCTACCTGATCAGCACCTTATCCTTTGGCGGTTCTGTACTAATTTCTTTCACATTTATTTTTTGAGGGCGTTAGTCGATTTATAGATCCAGTACGGCTGTGCTCTATTTAGCGTGGTTTTGCTCATGTTTTGGCTATGGCTTGTTTCATTGACCACCCTATTTATAGCATTTAGCATCAACATAACATCTACCTAATTCTTGAGACAGGTGATGTAGGGTTGTTCCCCCTATTTATTGTTTAGAAAAAGGGGGTCGTAACTGAATACTTAAGCTGGCCACTTTAAACCAAAAAAGCCAAAAAAGGGATTGGATCCAATAATATTAATTATTTAGTTACTGCCTTATTAACTACATTGAGGCTCATACAAACTCTTCAAGAGAAATACCCTTAGGAATTTACTATGTTACTTCCTTAGTTATTCCTGGACTGATTTTTAAATTTTGTTGGTTTTGTAGCATGTTCCAGGGAAAATTATGGTTTTGCCTTTAATGACCCCATCAGAATTTGACCGCCGTTGGAAATTAATGTAGACATGAATGACATGAATGCTTACCGTACCTGAGCAAGTCAAAAAGGATGACGATGAAATAGGAAACACCGCGCTTGAAGGGCTAAGAAAACTTCTAGTGCTGCTACCACCGTCCACACTACTGCTTCTGCTTGTAGATAATAATTGGCTCATTGATGGACAGCTGCAAGTGTTCACTGTTAAAACTGGAGACTGATTACATACCGAAGCGGACGGAATGACATCGCTGCAATGCGGATCTGGTAAACAAAAAAAGTACGAGTTCAGGATAACTGGGTCAGGAGCGTAAAGTCTCAACAAGGGATATTAGAGAGCTTACGTAACTACGACGACAATAGCAGTGAAAACGTGGATTAAAAAAAACGTTTGCATACTTGAAAACTTTATCGCGTCTAGTTGGACCTATCAATTTGTCAAATATAGGCGATTTCTACTGAGGATGAATTCTTGAGGACTTTATCCAGGTTCGAAAAGAGAAAAGAAAATTTGTCATCGTATGTTCATGCCATCCGTATAACGTCGTATTATATAGTAGGTTTCACGTCGTAGTCGTATAGTGGACGTCAGAGAAATGTACTTAAAAAGGGTGATACACGTGCAGAGCTGTTGGTTTGCCCATGAAACTATACAATTTTTTTTTTGACGTTGTCGTTGCCTACGTCTTCGTCGTCGCCTCGTTGCTTAAGCTTCTTTACAGAACCGCATAAGAGTGACTGTTATTTAGATTTATTGCATTTAAACCTTATAATTATAGTATATGCTGGGTTGTAGCAAAAATATAGTACGCATATGTAGCAATTAATGAATGCGGCTTTCGTAGAATATGAAGAATTAAGCAGATCGACCCGGCCTCTGTGTTATCCACAGAGGCCGGGTGGATAACACTCTCCGAGATCTGCTTAATTCTTCATATCCTACGAGAGCCGAATTCATTAATTGCTTTATTATTCATTCAAAATAATTCCTTGTTTAAAAACTTAGCTAAAACATGCTCACCTGCATCGATGTTAAGTTTATCTTCGATAGTGCACGTTTAGGTTTGTCCAGCTCCGCAAATATTCTCCAAATAGCGGATGTCGCCCCCCGAGTTGTCTTCTTGCTGTTTTTGCTATGTTGGTAGCCATTATTTTGCCTAGTTCCAGCTGTAGTTCTTACTCTTGAAACGAGTGAAGTGTCCGCCATTTTAGTTTTCACAACGAAAACAACTCAACCTCGTCCCCAGGTCTTCTATGTTAACGGTGCATTAACGTGTAGAAGGCTGCATTTTTGACGTTATTTCCTCGTTAAACACAAAACTCTTCCAAATTTGGTCATCAGTAAGTGGTTATGGTGAATTATGCGTGTTCTTTTTCCAATCAGAATTGGGGAAATATTTTGAATGAATAATAATGTATATTAAGATGCTAAGTAAACACTACATTGTTGATAATGCATTTCTGCCCCCACCGATTTCTTTTAGAGAAATACACTATAGGCAATATAATACTACGGTACTACTCAGTCATTCTTCTTCTTTCTCTTTGTTTGTCAGTTGTTTCAATACACCTGTTCAGTTAGCTTTGCACTTAGGTGAACTCGACTGAATTTGACCGGTTAGAAATGAAAGCTGAACATACCTGAGCAAGTTAGAGAGGCAGAGGATGACGGTGCAAGCACCGTACTTGATGGGCTTAGTAAACTCCTAGTGCTTCCAGTACTATCACCGATACTGCTGCTGCTGGTAAATGATAATTGGCTAGTTGATTGGCAACTGCAAGTGTTGATAGGTAATACTGGAGATTGATTACCTACCGAAGGAGATGGAATGATAGTCTGGAAATCATCGCAATACGGATCTGGTAAGAGAAATTATAAATAGTCATTTAGCATGATCATGAAAACCATTATATAGCTGTTATTGGAAGTGCTAACCTTAAATAAAGTTATCATAGAATGACTAAAACTGTGGGAAGATATATAAAACGTTCTTTCGAGCATAATAGACCCTTTCACGGCTTTTTCAACTCTTCTTCGGACTGAGACCAGTTTCCGAAAATCCGTCAACACGACTGGAATGAACACCCTAAGATCAATAAAGTTGCCAAGTTGGAAAGTAACTTGTTGAAAACTTACGAAGATATAGCTCTGTAAATTCGCAAAATTTTACAGACGGTTGTATGGTGGGGGGCACGTGGGGGGCAAGTTTGATCCCCCGACCTTACAAACGTCTGTAAAATTTCGCGGCTTTGTGAGGCAATATCTTCGCTCTCTTGGGACGTATGACCCTTAAAATTTGGTAAGTCAGCTGGTAAGTTTCCTAACTGTGGACCGAGGAATGGTCCACAAGTAATGACAAGTAATATTACTTTGAATTTTATTAATATTTGTGCAAAATATTACCCGTTTCTAATTGGTTTAAATGTTCCAGCTATATCTATAACCAGCGAGGCTTAATACTAAATTTGCGAGATATTTGCCGATATATCAATACGATTGACGTCAATTGTACTGATATCAACATAAAAGCGGATGCATAGACAGCATGCAAAGATTAGCGGCGCAGTGGCTCAATTTTTCGTCAAGGTAAAGAAAAGGGGAAGATTTCACACAGTAGAAAGAATATATAGACAAAAACTATCACTCGACGGATGACAACTGCTACATTAAGAATACGTAGCCATGATAAATTTATTATTCTGCTTCTCACCTGTATGGCCACGGCATACATATATTATTAGTTTCATGTTATATGTCACACAGCGTCCCCCTTCATAATTGGAGATCGAGTTAATGTTTCCATTGGACGTCGCTGAACAGTGGAGAGGTTATAAATAAAATGCAAAAGAAATAAATATGTGCGCCACACAAAATTTGTAAAGAAAGGACAAACTTGCGTAGATTTAACCTTGCAAAAATCATAGGAGGTCATTTTTAAAAAAAAAAAACTCATATTTGTACCGTATTTCTGTGTTTAAGCGGTTCGATTTTTAGATCGCTCCAATGGAAGCTTCCTACCACACGACTCTCCTCTGCGAGAGACCGAGGCATTATCGCATTTGCGTTATCTCATGTGCTTCGTGTCTAGAGCCACCTTCTTCAATCTAATGAATAGCTAGAATATCTTAGGAAGTAAAAACTGATTGCCAACAGTCGAAACATTTCAGAAAACTGTTGAAAAATGGTCTCTTGTAGCGATAAATATTTACTTTGGTACATGTTCTCAATTTAAGTTGAAACGAGCCAATAACAGGTTCACTGTTTCTTATATTACTTTCAGCTGCTACCAAAGCAGAACATATTTTTCAATACTTTTGTGATACTTTGTTAAAGACCTCGTGTCTGTAAAAGGCGAGTAAAACATCACGGCATTTAATTTCCTACCTATAAAGTAATATTTCTTTCCTGGTGTAAACTCTAATCCTTCTGGTGGGCTATAGGCTCTAAATACCATCTCATAATACGTCAACTGCAAGGGACTCTGACATTTTAGTAGATTTCGTTTACTGAAGTCGCCAGAGATGCTTTTGTTGACAACGCATTTGTCATACTCGTCTTTACTCACAATCCACATGTTTTCGTACATTTGTTCAATGGGTGTGCTGGAATCCTGTTCTGATAACAAGCTGGCTGGGTTCGGGCATACGATGTTGATCTTGTAGTGAAGATGGACTTTCATCTCTAATGCATTTTGCTGAAAACTTGAAAAAGACCCAACTTCGTCATGTGTCTGTAAAGCAGTCATTGTTGCTAGGATCAAATGCTTTTGACAGCCATGAAAATATACATGTATTTACACTCATCGACTTATGGCGTAAAAAACTGGAACTTTTAAAAGAAATTACAGAGATAAGCTCAAATGTGAAAAAAGTATTTGTAAAGCTTAATTGGTTGAAAAGTTATTGAGCTGTGAATTTTGTATTTTCCGCCATTTTGTTACTATTTTTGGAAATGTGGTGATCTTAAGAATGTCATATCTTCTTAACCAAATGAGGTTTTCAAAAACTTTTTTTCACATTCAAGTTCTTCTCTGAGTACTCTTTCAAAGTTGCTAACCTGTTATGGCATAAGTTGAAACTTATATTTTGCTGTCAATCTTATGACGTCATTTTCGCGCCAAAAACCGTTAAAATCAAAAATCCAACAAAATGCGATTGTTGGGAAAACAAAGTTCCATTACCTTGCAAAGTCTCAGCTCAAACGGTTAAAAATTGAAAAACTAGTTTGAAAGAGATCACTTTTTGATGACAGCTGACCCGGCGTGAAAATATGGCGGAATAATAAGACTGAAGCGACTTTCGGAGTTTTTTGTCTCTGATTGTGAGTTACTCGTAACCAAATCTCAATGGGTACCACCGGAATATTTATATCAAGAAACATCAAATTCAAGATCTTACCTTCGATTAATGCCAGCTTATCGGATTTCACTGGGTTTTTCGCGCTAAAACATTCGCGGAAAGATTAACACCAAAGTTTGCAGAAATCGCGAACGGTACCACCTGATATCGTGACATCTCTTGTCTGCCTTTAAAACCACCACAGTCTTTTAAACCAAGGATTGTGATAAAAACTGGGTTTTTTGTTTTCCTTTGAATTTGACCTGAACCCGTGTGGGGTAGCCAGCGCAAAGAAAATTTCCAGAAAACGTCTTTGATAGCCAGAAATTAAGTTCTCCGCGTTTCGGCCGCCATCGTTTTTATTTTTCAAACTTGTTTCCAGTACTCTTTGACTGTTTTATTGTTTTTACCTCATGTATGCTTCATTCAGAAGTGTCACGGCTAAAAACGGCAAAATACTAACCCCTACCCGGACGGGAAATTTTTTGTTGACCTCAATGGACCCGGAATTCTACTCGACGCCATGCAGGTTATGAATGTTCTTTACATAGGGAAAACTTTGTCGGCGGCGGAGACTGATTTTCATGTCACGCTAATTTCAGGTCGCTTTCTTAGAATATCATACAAGATTTCCTGTGGACAGCTTATACATTTGCGTTATTTTTCCTCTCCCGATGACCTTGCATGTTGGTTTTCGTCACTTGCAATCCTATCATTTTTATTGCATTGTTTTTATTGCATTAACAGTGTAGTCCGTACAGTCATATGAGGCTAAATGATCATGATGGCCAATGTGTTGGAGTCAGTCTCCACTGGCCCATTTTTGCCTTCATGATACGACCACTAAAGGATAGACCCAGTTGCTTGCATAGTTACAGAGATGTGGCCATGATTGCAGGGGTAGAACGTGTATTTGTGCTTGTTGGTATTTTGGAACAAAGACAGCTGACGGCCGAGGTATGAGTGTTGGCAATGAGAGACGGACATCTGTCTAACATGTAGTATTTCTTACTTGTGATGAAGGTAACTTGTTAAGGTGTTTCGATACGGTTTTTCAAAGACCATATCGATGTTTTTCAATCGTCTTAAAACCGATTTTGTCCTTGTCCAATCGCTACAAACTTTTCACCAGTAATTGACTATGAATTGAAGTTTGTCAAAATGTAATTTTTACTAAAATCAATATCACTATGACAACAATAAACAAAAAACTTTGAAATCCATAAAATCCGAATTTTTGCGCGGTCTGGAGCTGTTACTGAAAATCCGACACCAGGAACTTAAAGTGTGGTGTTTAGCAAATAACCTCTGTGAGAAGTCAAACAATGTGTATGTTTGAATTCAAATAAAACGTAAATATGTTTCAAACCCTACCTGCAGTTATGTATGATGGGTATCAATTTGGAAAAATTAGCCAAAACCGTCAAATGTTGTAACGTCAAAACCGTGAATGTTGTAACGCCGAATTTTGGCCGGTTCGTAAGCTAGGTTTCTCTTGAGATTTCAGGGTGTTGCAGTGAATCAATCTTGATGTAAGTTTCATACATTGTTATATACATCATGACGATTATGTGATGTGATTTAAAAAGAATTCTGCCGAGCCGTTTTAGAGATAATACAGAACAGCGCTAAAAGTCAAAATTAGGAATAAAGTGTTAGACTAATAGACAGGTGGTGAGAAAACGGGTTAGTTTTCAGGATCGCAAGAAAGAAAATACACCAAAATTTCCTAGCATCGAAAAATGATTTAAAGCAGCCTTCTGACGTTACTTAAGATTTGTTTTGAGTTATTTAGAATTTTTTTATTAAACATTTATCACGGTCATTTAAATATAAGGAGGTTATTTGCTAAAGACCACTCTTAAAGTTCCTGGTATCCTGGAATTTCAGTAGCAGGTCTAGATTGCGCAAAATTCAAATTTTATCGATTTCAAAGTTTTTTGTTTTTTTGTTGCCATAGTGATATCGATTTTACTAAAAACTACATTTGTACAAACTTCAATTCATAGTCAATCACTGGTGAAAATGTTGTACGTAGCGGTCGGACAAGGATAAAATCACTTTAAGGTGATTCAAAAACAACGGTATGGTCTCCCAAAAACTTTATCGAAATACCTTAAAACTAATCGAAAAAACTGCCCAGGAGGGAGACAATGTATGCAATATATCAGCACTTAGTTCCAAGTACATATTGTAGCGCAAATTAAGACTTTTTTTTTCCGTTAGAGCTAAAATTAATGAATACAATTACTGGGTGTAGTGTATTCCAAATTGCATTTAGCAGACACAATGACAACTTTGAAAAGACAAAGTTACTTTCTGTCATTGAAAAGGAGCGGCAAAGAATTTCACCTCCAGCTGAGTTTTTTTGGACCAACTCAGTGATTTTAATATAAATGAGCCGAATTAAGATTATTTTAACTGTAAGGACGTATTTGAAGCTTTGAGAATAACCGTCGTTACTCTAAGTTGAAATTAAATGGTTAACCTCTTGGGCAATTGTTGATGGGACCAATTCCTTTCTATAATTAAGACATTTCCAAATTCATCGAGCACTTGAATGACACTTATTGTCTTTCGCAAGAGTAAGTGACGAGAAATTTATTAAGGTAGGACATGAAAACACTTTCGACTAACAGTTGTCACCACTTTCTTTAAGGTTCTCGAGTTTTCAGTTCTTCTTCATATTTCATTTGAACCGTTTATGTGTTAGTTTCTAACGTCCTTAGAAGTCTGAACGTACACGAATAAGCGCCTGCGCTAATACCAAGATCAAGCAAAACCCTTTTGGATCGTACCTAATGTTCTATATCATTACTTTTTTTCGAAATTAAAACCCAAATTGTTATACGCACGACTGTCAAAATGAAATAAAAATAAATGTGGTGATGTATCGTGAGGTACATTTGCTCAGTTGACACAGTAAATGTACCGCACAAACATCACCACATACTAGTTAAAAGCAGCCCCTTTTTTTTCTTTTTTTTTTTAGTTGATAGAATTGTATGGTTTTTTGCCGCTTCTTATTTCAATATGCTTTTTACTTTTCCCATTTTTGAGTTTTGACACTCGATCTTTTTCTTGTTCGTTTCCTTCTATATCAGCGCGAACTAAATTTAGTGGAGGTATAAGTTCTATTGATTAAATTGTTATTTAATAGAAATGCGCCGGTCACAAGACAGGTAAAGTAAAGTCCACATAAAGTACTTACACTGGATTTCGTGGATCCCAGTGGAATGAAGGCTGAAATGAAGCACTCCTCACACATAGAAAGAACCAGAAATTAACAAAAAATTTCAAATTTGAAAAGATCATTTTCTTGCCTTTGCCAACCGAAGACCAGTGTAGCACGCAGGGGGTTTTACAGGATAAGAAATGGTTTATCAAATAAGTAAATTCGTAAAGCTCTGCAAAACCCTAATTAAACAGCTGTAACAAAGGCTTCCTTTGGCCATATTTACGTGTGTAATCATCTATTATGTGGTGAGGTGATTAATGTTGTCTCTGGGGAAATAACCTCAGTCAGCCTGGTTTTATGCATTTTATCTTAATTCGTTTTCCCACACTTCCTAAACACGGATATCCATTTTATGTGTTCATGTAAACGTTTTCTCGTGTTCAATAATGTTTACCAGGCCAAATCTTATCATGGGCACAAACTATGGAGGCACCACAAAAGCTTGTTTCATGACGTGCGTAGCTGATGCAGAAGCAGTATGTTTATTTAAATTACGTAATTTAATTGTTGGTTTTCCTGAATACTTGTTAATTGAGAGAGCTAAATTACTTTAAATCGTAAACTCCATGGTTGATTTGTTCGGATCAACGCCGCAAACCCTCGACGATGTCCTATTACCAAGGGAAGAGTGTTGCACCTAGCCGTTCAAACCCTATGATCCTCGATCATTTCGCTACCTTGTTAAAGAGTTAACTTTACACCCTAACGCATTTCGTGTCACTCACAGATAAAAAAATTAATAATAATAAAGCCTGATATCATGGTTTTATCATGTAAACCGCTTATAGCCGACCTTCACACTCTTCTGAGGCTTTCAGTCAAAAAACTGAAACACCCCACGCTAAAATAGTGACTTTGCACCTTTTTAAGACTCAAGACCTTGGAGACCATCCCCTGTCTTACGTCACATACCAGTCTAGGCCAAGGGAGAACGCCCCCCCCCTCCCCCGGTGGTTACCCAGTAATCCGTGTTACCATAACTTTTAATGGCAGTCTTTACACTAGAACCTAAATAAGCTAAGAAATATTTCAAGACAAGTAAATTTTTAAATTCTTCAAGTAAAATAAAGCTTCACAGAACCGTTTCTTTTTTTACTTCAGGTTAACTTAAACCTATTTTCCCACGCAAAATCAAGATTAATGGACATGATTCACTTTTCTCAAAGCTCA